TCCAAAATGAATTTGAGGCGATTTGGAGCATTTTGAAATTTGCGCGCGCACTGACGCGCGGACGTACGCGCACGCGCGCGTTTTTTGACCTGAAATTGACCGGACTGATATTGACCTTGATCATGGTAAATATGAATGAGAAATGACTTTCAGTTATGAAGTTATGATCATTTGAGATTTTCCAAAAAAAACACAAAATGGCGCCTGGATGACGTCATGAAGACTTGATGACCTTGAAAAGGTTACTGTCACGTCTCATGACAATGACCTATGACTGTGCCAAAATTGAAAGAAATTGACCGGACGGATCTTGAGTTATCCTGTGAACAAAAAAGTGGAAGAAATAAAAATAAAGAAATAAAGAAAGAAAATTCTGACGAAAACAATAGGTAGTCTGTCGAAGACAGACCACCTAATAATAATAAAGAAAATCCTTCAAAGTTCTAGAAAATGTGCAATTTCAACTTTCAATCGAAAATTCCGACATGATCCCAACGTCTGATCAAAAAACAAAGTACACCGTTTTTGTAGCCCATGGTCTCAGCTATAACATACAAAAAATGTGGGATAGAATAGAGCACGAATAAGCGAGATAGTGCTGAAAGATTAAGGCCATGTAGATTCACGATGTGAACGAAATTCACCTTCCATAGACAATACACGCAAATGAAGAAAATTCTGACATGTCGCCTTTAATTGAAATTTTCACCATGATGACGTCATCAAAATGGAAAACAATGGACACTGATCTTGTAGAGAATTGTCTCAGCTACAACATATCTAAGTTTGGAAGTAAATCAATCAATATTTACAGAGATACAATCAATTTGCCATACATATGATGACGTCATAATATGCAAATTCGTTTTTTGAGTTCCAAGGCCATTATGATGATGTCACGATATATATAATGGCCAAATGAGACCTAAAATCATATTTCCAACTCATATTCTATCCAAATATGAGAAAAAATTGGGGGTTTTGTGGACTTCCTAAAGAGCTATAATGGATTTTGTATAGGCATGTTTTTGCCCATATATGCTATGTATTACAAGATCACGCGCGTACGGACATGTATTTTAAACGGACGCTAATTCCGTCAATAATGGTCATGAAAAGCTAAACATGGTATCAAATTATTCGGAAAAAGATAAGGAATACCCTCGTCAAAAAGACGTACTAGAAAATTATTCTTCGTTTGGCCGCTACGAACGAAAACGCGCAAAAATGCGTGTTTTGCGTGATTTTTATGAAATGCGTAAAATGGCCTGAAACGTATCCAAAATGAATTTGAGGCGATTTGGAGCATTTTGAAATTTGCGCGCGCACTGACGCGCGGACGTACGCGCATGCGCGCGTTTTTTGACCTGAAATTGACCGGACTGATATTGACCTTGATCATGGTAAATATGAATGAGAAATGACTTTCAGTTATGAAGTTATGATCATTTGAGATTTTCCAAAAAAAACACAAAATGGCGCCTGGATGACGTCATGAAGACTTGATGACCTTGAAAAGGTTACTGTCACGTCTCATGACAATGACCTATGACTGTGCCAAAATTGAAAGAAATTGACCGGACGGATCTTGAGTTATCCTGTGAACAAAAAAGTGGAAGAAATAAAAATAAAGAAATAAAGAAAGAAAATTCTGACGAAAACAATAGGTAGTCTGTCGAAGACAGACCACCTAATAATAATAAAGAAAATCCTTCAAAGTTCTAGAAAATGTGCAATTTCAACTTTCAATCGAAAATTCCGACATGATCCCAACGTCTGATCAAAAAACAAAGTACACCGTTTTTGTAGCCCATGGTCTCAGCTATAACATACAAAAAATGTGGGATAGAATAGAGCACGAATAAGCGAGATAGTGCTGAAAGATTAAGGCCATGTAGATTCACGATGTGAACGAAATTCACCTTCCATAGACAATACACGCAAATGAAGAAAATTCTGACATGTCGCCTTTAATTGAAATTTTCACCATGATGACGTCATCAAAATGGAAAACAATGGACACTGATCTTGTAGAGAATTGTCTCAGCTACAACATATCTAAGTTTGGAAGTAAATCAATCAATATTTACAGAGATACAATCAATTTGCCATACATATGATGACGTCATAATATGCAAATTCGTTTTTTGAGTTCCAAGGCCATTATGATGATGTCACGATATATATAATGGCCAAATGAGACCTAAAATCATATTTCCAACTCATATTCTATCCAAATATGAGAAAAAATTGGGGGTTTTGTGGACTTCCTAAAGAGCTATAATGGATTTTGTATAGGCATGTTTTTGCCCATATATGCTATGTATTACAAGATCACGCGCGTACGGACATGTATTTTAAACGGACGCTAATTCCGTCAATAATGGTCATGAAAAGCTAAACATGGTATCAAATTATTCGGAAAAAGATAAGGAATACCCTCGTCAAAAAGACGTACTAGAAAATTATTCTTCGTTTGGCCGCTACGAACGAAAACGCGCAAAAATGCGTGTTTTGCGTGATTTTTATGAAATGCGTAAAATGGCCTGAAACGTATCCAAAATGAATTTGAGGCGATTTGGAGCATTTTGAAATTTGCGCGCGCACTGACGCGCGGACGTACGCGCATGCGCGCGTTTTTTGACCTGAAATTGACCGGACTGATATTGACCTTGATCATGGTAAATATGAATGAGAAATGACTTTCAGTTATGAAGTTATGATCATTTGAGATTTTCCAAAAAAAACACAAAATGGCGCCTGGATGACGTCATGAAGACTTGATGACCTTGAAAAGGTTACTGTCACGTCTCATGACAATGACCTATGACTGTGCCAAAATTGAAAGAAATTGACCGGACGGATCTTGAGTTATCCTGTGAACAAAAAAGTGGAAGAAATAAAAATAAAGAAATAAAGAAAGAAAATTCTGACGAAAACAATAGGTAGTCTGTCGAAGACAGACCACCTAATAAGAATACTGAGGGATACAGAAGAAATCAATGGACAGAGTGCAAATATATAGAACTTAAGAGCAGTAATGAATAATGAAAAGGGGATGAGGAAAGTAAAAGAAAGAAAATACAGTGAAGAAATGAGAAAAACCAAAACAAATTTTGTATAGCAACTGTCTTTATTTAATTACAATGAAACATTGTGATACACAGAACAAATATGTCAGTGGATGGTGATGTGTTCATTGCATGTATTTGGATATGCCTCTTCCAAAAAAGCAGTGCCCTATCAAAATCCAGTGAGCAAGAAAACTGGGATGTGTCATTTCATCCTTGGCCATGCAGCTACAATAGATTGACATCAAACTTAATTCTATCGAGTAAGAAAAAAAGCATTCACCAAATTTTGCAAGTGCAAGTACATTTACATCAAATCTTAACTAAATCAACATTTAACAATGTAATTGTCAAACAAGACATTTTGTACATCTAAACAGATTCTTCCTCTGCTGGCGTTAGGGTATTGGTAAAGTTGTATTGAAACCATATGTGTACCTATAACGTACTGTTTACGTCAAGGTGGCAGCACACACCCACTCTTTAACAAATAGTCTAGCAGCACATTCACTTGGTCAGTTCTCTGTCTTCGCCTACAAACTAGCTCAGGCAGACCCCGGTTCGGAACTGAGTCACGTCTTTCAGATAGTAACGTTAGGTCCCAGAGGTAAATAATCATAACTGATCGATACACGTCTGTAAAAACCCAAACAAATTAAACCAACAAACACACACAGTCACACACGCGCATCCTCTAAATAATGATGCATTATAAAGACAAAGCATGACGTCGAAAAATGCAGTACAGCACTTTTTATATAAATTTTCAAATGAATGATTTTTTTTTTAACATAAAAATTATAGCCTGATGGTCTTTGAACATATCAAGAGGTTAAAGTCACAATATGAGGATAACATGGCATTAAGTTGTTATTATTAAGTAAATATTATTTTCTTTTGAAGCAAACTCTTATTTTACAAATACGATGAAACCCCAAAGCGCTTAATAAATTTTACAATAGATATTTATATACCTGAATTACACAGATCTCCACTAAATCCGTGAGCACATGTACATGCATACACTGTAAAAAGAATTTGTTCATTGGTAATTTTTACGTATTTTCTCCATGTAGAATTTACTTGAAAACATTAGTTTTGCCACTTACGCACTAAATTTAAGTCTTGCTAACTCAAACTTTCAATTTAGTAGAACATACGTGGAATATTTAAGTAAAATCAAATACATAAGAACTTTAAGTAATTTCAGCATGTATTAATTTAGTAATTTTAACTCAAAATCAGAAATTATACGTATTACTCAAACAATTTATGTTGATTATTCTTATCTTTTTAAAGTAAGGACCGATGCAGTGCGTAATAGAAATATTTACATAATTTATGAATATCCATTAAGACCAAATTAAACTCTTTTTTGAATAAAACAATTCTTTTTTGTGGTTGAATAAAAATTTAAGGACTTTAAAACATTTACTAATTCATTTAACATGGCTAAGCAAAGACAAGACAATTTTTAATTGTTACCCAGTTCAAAACAAATCAAAACTTGATATTTCAGAAAATTGTCAACCAATTTTCCTTTTAAGATGCTACGATCAAGTATATATTTGGAGCCTTTCATTATGTGTCGAATTGAAGCGTATGTAATAGTTTGTGATGGTGGTAGATTATATATATATATATATATATACGGTTAAATCTTAAATAGAAGTAATGAATGATTAGTGGATGTTACTTGTTAGATTAGATGGGTACCAAATCGTGCAATATGTAATCCTATCATAGCTTTTTTTTAATTATCTAAAATGATTACAATACTTAAATTATTTACGTTAATGTAACTCGATTTAACTGAGTAAAAATGTATTCAGCAAAATAAGTAAATTCTACTTAAGATGCCGTAGGTAATATTTACTTAATAAAAATTAGGCAATTCTTTTCCTCAATTTTATTGAGCTATTTCGACTATTATTTTTTTACAGTGTAGTTCTCACAGGTACCTCCGTTCAGACATGGGTTGCTTTCGCTACAGACAGCTTCAGAGAGCTCCGGTCTAACAGCTTGGAAATTAAGAAAGATGTGTTAAAGATTGTCAAATTAGAAAGGTAGACTAGTTATAAGTTAGAACAATGATCTCGAAATATATCAAGAGGTTAAAGTCACAATACAAGTATAACATATGGCACGGCAATCATTTTATTATTAATTTTTATAGTATGAAGACAAAATAACTTTTTATATTAATTTTCAAATGAATGAATTTTCAAATATGCTTTGTTCACCAAATTTAGAATGCAATAACTCATAAACCAGAGAAGGATTTAGCATGAGTCTAATTTATCTAGAAGCTATCTCTCATGGGATTTTTTTAAAAAATAATTAATTGGCCATAGAGTTTGTACAGGCATTGGATGTTCTTGCCACATAGCGGATTTCTCCTTTCACATTCTATGAAAAATGTAATTACCGGTATGCTCTCGGCGTCCAATTTAAAAATAATTGTCATATGTCTTCTAGAATATACTCTCAGCTACAACATACTAAAATTGGGGGGGGGGGGGAAATTGGCCACGAATAACGGCGATATGGTCCAATGAAAATCAAAAAATATCTTTAAAAAAACATAGTCAAATAGAATGTAATCAATTGAAATCTATATATCTGACTTTGAAGGGCCATATGATTACGTCACAATAACAAATACGGTCATGTGAGACATGAAATCTTATCTACAACTCATATTCTATCCTAATATTAAAATAAATTTGGGAGTTCATGGACTTGATTAAGAACTTTAATCAATTATAAAACAAACATATTTTCGACTATTTTTAGATTTTGGCAAATTTAGGCGCGCATAGATTTTTTATCTTTAACACGTATGTATGACATCATTTTAATTAATAACGGACTAAAATTTGGTAAAGTTGCTAAGATAAGTATCAGAAATCTGATCCATGCGAAAAAAGGAGTATTTCTATATTCTGTACATAATTTGCATACAAAAACGCTTGGGGATGCGAATAACAAAAATTTAAATGCGCCAAATGGCCAGAAATGTACTCTAAAAATTGACCATGAAGTGATTTTGAGCGTTTTATAATTTTGACCTGCACGTGATGATCGAGGCACACGCAGACACTTATATACGTTGATATTGACCCTTGACCTGAAATACATGTGTACCAAATTTTGTTCATTTTTATGGCGAGTTAGGAAGATATGATTGATAATACAATTTCACAAAATGGAACCTAGCTGATTTCACGGTTGAGTGATCACACAGAGAGGGAGAGGTTTTTCTATTTTTGACCAACGGGAATTAGTGGTGAACATTTTATGGTGATCGGGCGGAAAATCTGACCATATACAAAAATGTACAGAAAGATAGAATAAATAGATAAAGAATAAAGATTCTGACAAGATCAAGAGGGGATCTACAGATCTGCTGCAGATCTCCTAAAAGGAGCTTCCATGAACGAAATAATTAAGTCTTTTGACACTAGTCAAATGAAACTGTACATACACTGGAAATCTGCACACTGCTGGGATATGACTGAATACAAATGATTAAAAATAAATAAATTGAAAATGTGAACCTGAAAAGAACATTGACCCCTGTTTACAGAAGTGAAACTAATCTGGGATTGCTGGCATATCCTGACATCAACCTTGACACATGTACGTAAATATCACTCTTTGTCTTTCAATCTCTATTGCCTTATAAAGTTATGTACTTTACATGTTCTATTCCCTCTTTGCTCTCTCTCTCTCTCTCTCTCTTTCTCCTTTCACATATCACTTTTCCTCGCTCAAAATCACACTTTCTCTCCCCATAGAGGTGTATGTTTGCTGTCCATCTTCAAAATCTCTCTCTCTCTCTCTCTCTCTCTCTCGATCATCCCATCCATCTCTCTCTCTCTCTCTCTCTCTCTCTCTCTTTGTGTCTCTATCTATCTATCTATCTCTCTTTCCCTCTTCATGTCTCTCTATCTATACACATAATATATGTATCACTTCAATACTAATTCAACTCTCTCTTTCTCTCTTACTTTTTTTATATGATATAGGCAGCAGAAAAGAAAAGATGGATAGAATGAATAACAAGAACATGAGTTGACAATAGACAGATACAAATAAAAGCAAATGGCAGTTTGACAGAGAAGATGGGTCAGTCCATTACTCAAGGCAGGAAATTCAAGGCCCATTGATAGCTCAAAATCAGCTGAAACTGCAGTTTGGACAAGCCACAGTCTGATTTCCTGGCTCCATTTCCTTTATGTTTTATTATTCTATCAGGGTTAATATAGTGCAATTACTGATATTCGCATCCAAACAAGACTTACTTAGTTCAAATCGGCAACAAATTTGTTGTTTTCCTTTAAAGGGTACTATTTAATAATTTATCAATTAATTTGAAAACAATTGTTAAAACATTAGTCTAGAAAGTTAAGGTGATAATGAAATGGTTTCTTTCAAAATCAATAAAGTTACAATACATGTACATACACTTTATTTATAGATATTACAATTATCAATAACATGGTACAAACATATTCATATTCATTCTCATTGATGAAAGAAAAAATTACACAGCCCCTCAGCAGCTTGCAGTCAGTAGGCTGTAAATTGGGATGTTCCTAGCCTAGATGCTGTATATAAACTAGTGCTTTTTTCAAGTCAACGCAAAGGGTAGCATCCCCTAGCCGGGTGCAAATGGCCTATATACGTCAGAACATAACACTGCTTCAGTTTTCATATTCAAGTTTCATAATTTCAGATAAAATAAAAAAAGAAGATAAAGATCTTCAGCTGTAATTCATGCAATAAAATGTTCCAGCAACTCACTTCTCACGGTGACTCTAGCCGAGGTGTCTATGGTCCCCAGCAAGCTCGTTGCCACACAGGTGTAGTTGGCGGACTCGTATATGTCCCCTAGCTTCAGGACATTGCGCCCGAGGGGGAGATTGTCCAAGTCGTCCAGGTCCATACCTGCTTTCATCCACCGTACACTAGGCATCGGGTAGCCGTAGGCAGCACAGGTCAGGTTGACACTGCCTCCGGGTACCACCTCCTGGTTCTCAGGCAGGATGGTAAAGCGAGGCTCCACTCGACGATCTGAGGGTAGGACAAGAATGGTAATAAGTACAGTGTATCAAAGACAACAGGACACTTCTTAATGTAACTCAATGACACACAAAATAAAAAATCTCCATTGTTTACAAGTGCCAACTGTATTCTAAAATATCAGAAAGAGGATGATTCAATCCAGTATCTTGATTCTTATATATTTTCATATCTAAAATTTGTCATTAAAAGAAAAGAAGAAAAGATTCATCCAGTGACAGAACTTACCTCTGACATAGAATTGACCAAGCCAAGAGTAGCGTGTTCCCAGGGAGTTCTTCGCGGCACACTCATAGTGACCCTGGTCAGACAGCTGGGCTCTGGAAAACTGAAGGCCCGCTGGTAGTGGCAAAAGAAAGAGGAGGAACAACAAAATATGAAATTAGTTTCATTGATTGATTGTTCAAGATTCACATAATACTTGCTCTACAACAAAACAGGAAGATACGATTCCATAAATTATGTTGCTTTAGAATAAAGAAATTATAGGGAAAATATTAAGGCTTATAAAACCTTAAAGATACTATGTCCATTTTGCAGCCAACATCAAATTCTGTAGAACTTTGCAGGAATTATGAATATGTCATGCACTCAAACCATGCCAATGAAACCGTATGACTTGCCATGCAAAGACAGGGATTTAGGGGTGATATAAAAAGGCGTAAACTTAGAGCTTTTCATTAAAAAGAGAAGCATATAAGAAATGCCCTGCTGCAAAATCAAACATGAGTTCTGAAAGTTACTTCATGATGTCTAGTTGTCCTAACATCCAACGTAGTATTACAAAAGCATCGGGGAAGTGTTCCTTAACCTCTGGAAATCTTTGAAATCGTCAAAATTGTATATTTCTACATATACCTCATGCTAGCATCACTTTGTCTTAAACTCCACATTTATATCAAGCTTTCATTCTTAAATATTGGTCACATTACAACTTACAATCCGTTATGGAGATCCTGTCATTAGTTTCGATGGGTACAAATTCCTTGAACCACAGGATCTCAGGCTCAGGGTTGCCGGTGGCTCCACATAAGATGGTCGCCGGTCGGTCTACCTGCACCACCACACTAAGTCTTGGACTGGACGTGATCTCGGGATAGCCCGCTGGACGACTGTCAGCTGCAGAAAATTAAATGAAGTAGAGAGAAAGAGAGGAGAAAAACAAAGCTATGGTCAATCAATTTTTTAAATGGACAGACAAAAAGTGACAAATATATTGATTTTGTACATATCTTTGAAATATATTACTCCTGCTAGGACTGGAGTGATGATGAACAAAAATCATGTGGAGAAATATTGTTTGGATTACGTGCACTCTGACCTTTTTAATTGCGTTTTTAAAGTAAACATGCCAGAGTTTGTGGCTATGGAAGATGAGCTCTTATGAATTCCTCAAACTCTTGACTTACTTTACCATCATTATCATCATCATCATCGCCTTGAGGACCTTTGCAAGGTCGATACGTGCGCTTGTAAAGTTACTTTGAGTTTGTTTGGGAAATACAGAAAAGCAGGTTGTAAACAAAATGTTGTGTGTTAGGGACTATCGTCACTTTTGATCCTCTAAATGGTAATAATTGAGTCCAAATTTCACTATTTCATGGTTTTGAGGCATTATTAGTTTTACTTGACTGAAGCAAGAGTCAGAAACATATAAGGAGTGTCAAAATACTCACAATTTAACAGAAAATACAGAGTCCAAAATGCTTAGAGTCCAATATTATTATTATTATTATCATAATTATCCTGCTCTTCTTCCTCCTCCTTTTCCTTCTCCTTCTCATCCTCTTCCATCTCATCATCATCACCATCACTAACACAACTACCATGAAGAAGAACAACATCATCATCATCATCCAACCACATTATTATCATCACCAACACCATCACTACTTAAACCTTCTACCGAAACCATAATATTCCTTCCACCCTCTCCAGCTGGCAAGGTGAAAACCTGAGCAAATAATCACTACAGTGGGAGCGAGACAACAGAAGGCTCCTCATTTTCCTCCAGTCCTCGTCAAACAAAAACGGCCGCCAGGGAGAAGGATCGAAGGAGACCAGAACGGAAGGGAGAAATCAAATTTGGGAGATGATGCGATGGCACGATTCTCTGGAGTCTGGGGACCCAGGGAGAAGACTGGTGATATTATCTCAGGCTTCTGCTGATGGGAGAGGGATAACGGAGCTGAGAAAGAAAGCAGTTTGTCATCGCTCTAGTTAAGGTTGCTTGGGTACGTGTAATGATGAAATTACCAATGTTTGGCCATGCTTGTGAGGTGATCGATGGAGCTGATGAAACTATTACTTGCCTCTGGAATAAATCGTTTGAATGGTATGGTGTGTCTTCATGCTTTCCATGCACATACATACATATTTACCCAAAAGATTGAATAATAATCCTTGCAGGATTTACAATAACATCCAATCAGGACACCAATTATACTAAAATATGCTCCAAAGTCAACAATGATACGTGCACAGAATAAATAAAACAGAGCCTGATTAAGTCATTACAGCCTTCAAACAAAATTGCACAAATGCATGAACCGAATATGAACCAAAAGCAAAGCTAGCTTGAATTTGTCATGTTTCAAATTATCTTAGGCATGTACATTCGTACTAATGTTTTAATTATCTCTCTCACCGCCTCTCTCTTACTCTTATTCGCTTATTTTCCGTCTCTCTGTCTCTGTCTGTCTCTGCCTGTCTGTCTGTCTCTCTCTCTCTCATTCTCTCTCTCTCTCTCTCTCTCTCTCTCTAATTTTCTCTTTTCCCAGTCTTTCCTGATGTTCCCAGGTAAGCCCAAAGTTCCATCATCGATCTTGCGTCATCTCTCTACGTGGCAAAGAGCTCAGATGAAGTAGGCCTATATACCCATGGAGGTGGATGAGGCCACCACGTAGAGGAGTTGGGCCATATCCTCTTTTATATCCTTTATTTACCTTTCCCCCACGCTTTCTTTCCCTCTTTCTGCCCCCCCCCCCACCTCCCTGCCATTTGCCTTTCGATTTGGGAGCAATGTCCCATATGAAGCCCATATAGCTACGCCAATTAGTAGACATATCCCTAGTTGACCTTCTACGCCGCGTAAAGAAGGTCAACTATCAACGGTCAACGGTCTAGTTCCGGGACGCTTTCGAGAGGACACGAATCGCCTCTTCAGAAGTGAAAAGAACCAGCAGATAATAACGAATGATGATCGTAACCAATTGAAGAGCCCCCGGAAGGATATCGGATGCAGGTTTACAACCTTGAACAGATCACGCGATTGTGGTATAGTTTACTATAATAGTTTACTATAGAAAGTGGATTAACCAAAATTATTTTAACTTCAATAAATGACTGATTTTAAAGGCTAAGAAACTGTACTCGCCTTGGCAGTATACGTGCCATTAATTGACATGACCCAAAGTGTTTAAGCAATAGTTGATCGAGGTGACTTTACTTACGAATGCATGCATTTAGCCATGTATTATCTTTTTTTTCTTCTTCTAAACCCTGAATCGGTACTTTCAAGTGCGCATCCACTATTAAAAATATAAGTCTGTTTTGAGTTTCGGTTGTTTAAGGAAACATCCCAAAGCTCTACAGTGTCGCATTCATTGATGATTGAAGTCAATTCTTGGGGGATTAACAAATTAACCATAACGAATGCAGGGTTGGTTAAATTGAGGGTTTAACTTTGAGCATGATCCACTTGAAGGGCTGGATGTGAGAACCCGATTTTTAAAAATTGCACCACATAGTAGGAATTTTTTGCAATTGCATTTTTTACAGTACACAATAATGTAACAGTTCTTCTCATTTTTAAAAAATTTCATTTCATTTGCAAATCTAATCAAGAATGGATAACCTGTCTTTTATTTAAAAAAACTCTAGAACATCCAGGAGCAAAATCTAGCGGAACAATATTTAGGGAAGAGTTGGAGCAGGGAGATCTCCCTGGTTATGAGCAAGTGATTGTTGAAATGAAATATGAGCTCAAGAATCATATCATAAATCATAATATACTACCTTGAATACCGACCTTTCAATCTTAGCTTGGGAGTTATATATATCTTCAGGTGCAGAGAGAATTCTATCTGATTTGTGAGTATGTCTCATATGCCTTCAAATGGCATCAATTTGTCATTCTTGTTTACAAGATGTGCATTGTCTATGTCAATGGCCCACAAGAGCAAACTGCGTGCGTGTGTGTGTGTGTGTTTTTTTGTTTTTTTTTTTTTTTTTTTTTTGGGGGGGGGGGATGGGGTAACAGCCCAACAAGGAAAAAGTACACCAAAAATATGGTAATCCGCACTTTCTTTAGGATTGGGTGTAAGGCTGAACGTGATGTGAGGGTAAATATCATGAATTCATACATGATCTTTTTATAAAAAAACAAACACAGTCATGCGCTGATACGACTGTAAATCATCCATAACTAAGTGTAGCATGAAGAGATATGGAATAGACCGCTAACTAAACAAACGTTTGGGATTTGACTACAGCTGAAGGAGGGTAGAGGTTGTATTTACAGAAGATTTGTCTTCTTTTATTCTGTTTAATATCACATGACATGTTGGTTGGGTGCGTATAGAACCAATGTGAGGTATTCTTGGTTATCACGTCATCTGTCATGGATATTAACTTTGTTGTACACACTGAAGGCCACATTATCTATCATTTTCAGCCATAACCATGCTTTTTTTAAATCCATTTATGTTCCCAAATTACTTAATAGACTAAAATGTGTATCGAATAGTGCCATGTTTCAACAACACGGTCGCAAGTATTTTGTAATCTCAATACCCTATACTGTACATCCCAAAGAAATAATGTTTGGATCATGTAACCTCGTTGTCATGTTCACACATTTCTTTATAGGTGATGCACAGAACTATTAAAAAATTGCCTTTGATTTTTCAAAAGAAGTTCCGATAGTGTTCAACGTAATGTAGCATTAGAATAAATATCAACAAAAAGAAATCTTCTTCAAGACAGACCAGAACATAAAGGTTAAGACCTAGGGACAATAAGTGGAAAGGAAAAAGGAATGAGGCAGTTCATAAAACCTAAGTGAAAGTAAACACTAACAGCAAGTGCTAACGAACACATACTTCGTTATATTTAATTTTTTCAATTTTGAAGAAAATAGGTAAGAAGCAGTCCATGATATGCAAGTTAAACTATATACCACGAGCAAGTGCTAACAAAACCATACCTTCATTTCTTTTTCTATTTTGTCCCTGTTTAGAACAGCTTTGCATTTGAGCCCCTTTCATCAAGGGACGTCTTTGAACATTTGCCAATTTTCTTTGGAGTGCCATCAGGCGAAAAACAATATAGGCCAGACTAAACAGTAGATCACCATGGCCTTTCAACTCTTCACTCAGACCTAGATCCTCCTCAACAAAAACAAAAATTCATCATTCTCGGATTGTCAATAGATTGAAAGAGGTGAATAATTCACGGTCGTAAACTCCAAAAGACCCAGAGCTGTCATCCCCCCTCCAAAAAAAGAAGATGTTCAAGGTTTTACCTTCCTAAAGTGAGAGAAAAAAAACCTGCCAAAATAATCCCTTTCCCCTCAATTGTGAAAAGAAAAGAAAATCTGTAATTTGATTTGAACTTAAGACCTCCCCAATTCAAATCATATTTCATAACCAAAGTTAATGTTCAAGTCATTGAAACCACTTGGGAGTGCTAGAGTAGGGTCATAACCCATGCAAAATTCATAAAAACTTCACAATTGAGGAGAAGCAATTTTCATGAAATGCTCATTTCGGTGAAAGTGCTGAGTACAAGCAGCATTAAAAAAAATGTCTTTCCATTTCAAATTTGTCCATAAAACTCGAATTGCGATTGTTCCATGTCTGCAAGGTTATGTTCTGCAAAATCAGTCATTTTTGTGACATAAAAACTTAATGGAACTGTTAGAGAAGCCCCTTTTTTGTGGTGCTGAGTGATTCAACTATTTTGTAGCACGATACTTTCACAGACTAGACCTCTCACAAAGATCAAAACATTTCTTGTTTGACAGTAATCAAATTCTTTCAGTTGGCTTTCATGGGTAGAGAGGGGTTCTCCAAGAGTTTGCAAGCCAATGTTTTAGCAGCAGTATACGGGACACACCCCCAAATCATGCTTGAAATATCACTGTTGGAGCTAACATTCCTCCATGCTCCATACAAATTTGGTTTGAAGAGCAATACCTTGTTCAAAACGAAACATACTGAAATATTTTCTAGAGATCAAGTCACAACTTTCAGTGTCGATTGAAAGTTTGGGTCAAGGTATAGAGACCAGAAGCAGAAGAAGAGATGTAAATACCCTGTAGCAGACAAGTATGGTCTGTTATGTACAGAGATAAACGGATGTCCCTTGCGGTATTTATTATTTACTCCTTGATAGGCCCTACTTGTTTTCCATCTTACTTCCTCTCTATCTCAGTATCATATTAATTGTTTCACTAAGTTGCTCAATGAAACGAAGAACCCGCTTCACTGGAAACAACTCTTTTGTTTTAAGACAAGTGCTCCTAAAGATTGGCTTGCCAGTCAATTTCTAACACTACACAGATTCCACACGCAAAACGTGGACCCAACCTAACCCTACTCACCATAATAAAACCCCAAAAGCTCTCAACTTGAACAAAATAAAGCCTAGAGTAAGAGAGTCACTGGAGCAATTAATGTCTGATTATTTTTTTCTTCTTCCAATCTCCTTGAGATAGTGGACAATAGGTGATCTAACATGTGCTCAAGCAACAAATGCTCTGACCTATATTTTGTCAAAAGATTTAGAGTTACGAAAAAAATTGCACATAATTAGGCTCCTCGTCAGGGCCGGGTCTTATAATAAAGTTGCAATTAATTACAAATAATTCGAAATTAAAATCAATGGCATCTCCTATCTCTTTATTAGTGGAGAGAGTTGCAATTGATATCAACTGCAAATTATTTGTAATCAATCACAACTCTTTCACAACGGGGCCCCAGGTGTATAGTAGGGTTATATGGTCGGGTATGATGTCTGTTAGTTAGTGTAGGGTCCTGACCATGGACGAATTGTCAGCGGAACATGTGTCATGAAACCTGTTTATAATCCCTATTCAGACTCTTACCTTGAGTGACAGTAAGCCTTGCCCGTGTCGTGGCTGTCCCATCGTCATTGCTTGCCTCACACACCACCGACTGGTCGTTGTCTCGGTCATTCCGAAGGGGCGATAACCTCAGCACTGACCCTCCCTCCGTGTCGATGATCAGGTAACGCATACCGCGCACCCTCTTATTGTTCTTGTACCATTCGAACGTTGGGGCGGGGTCGCCCGTTGCCTTGCAGTAGAACGTTGCTGCACCTTCATCTATAGCACCCTCATCTGTCAGACCAAGTGTGATGACCGGTGGTGCTGTAAGGTGAGAGAACAAGGAGATTGTCATTATTTTTGTGAACGTAAAACAATGATTTTCAGGTTTTTCATGTATAGACCACTAAGAATACAGTCATCATAAAACAATGACCATGCAGTGCGGTGGACTTCATCTGGCAAACCTTTCATCATCATTTCGTGGAGTACTTGGAGTGTTTCATCTTTCTGAGTCATTTCCTTTATCTTCTGGAGACGATTGTCCATGAGCCTCAACATTTCAGCCGGATTGATTTCTCCAATCTCTTAGATCATTTTCCTCTGCTGCTTCACCTTGAAGATCTCGTATGCAGAGACATCTTCAACTTTCTTCAGTGGCAGTGCTGATCTGGATAACATGTCTGCTATATACATGAGTTTGCCTTGTTTGTATTGTACCTCTATAGGTTATACTTCTGTAGCCTTAGCTGCATTCGTTGGAGTCGTTTTGGTGCTGCTAGCAGTGGTTTAAGGAATATGCTCTGCAGAGGTTTGTGGTCCGATTCAACTGTAATCTGGTCTTTTCCGAAGAGGTATTGGTTGAAGTGTTCGCATAAAAAGACTATCGCCAAACACTATTTTTCAATTTGAGTATACCTCGTTGCTGTCTCTGTAAGCGCTCTAGATGCAAAGGCCACTGGTTGAGAACCTTGCATCAATGTTGCTCCCGTCCTGTTTCACTTGCGTCGCATTGTATCGTCACTTCTTCGTTGACATCAACGTAGCGTTGAACTGGTGTTGCTGTCACAAACTTCTTGACTCTGGTGTTTGCTGTCTCCTGGTCAGTGCCTCAAAACCATTTAACATCCTTGAATGTCAGTTTTCTGAGTGGCTCGCATTCTGCTGATAGGTTTGGCAAGAACTTTGCCAGGTAGTTCCCAAACCCTACAGCAGGGTCGTTATGCCTTATACAATTCTGTCCCTGATTAAGTCATCTCTGAGACTCCCAAATTCGCAGGATTCTGTTAAGCCTCCTAGAACAGGCACATATTGATCTATGGACTCTCTTTGTTCTTGTTCTTTTGTATCAAACTGGTATCGTTAATAGATCACATTCACCTTGGGGTAAAAATGAGTTTTAAATGCCGCAAAAATGGAAGAGCTTGATTCCTTGTTTTCTTAAGAGAATTTGAGTGTGGTGGATGATTTGTAGCACTCTTTTCCTACGGCAACGAGTGACAGAAAAGTTGCAACCCTTATCTTATCTGGGGGGTGTTTCACAAAGATCCTAAGTCCAACTTAACTCTTAGTTGGACTTAAATATTATGGAGAGCCATTTGTAGCCTTAAAATAAAATATATTAAAAAGCAAAAATTTAAGAATTTTAGACTTCTCATTCATTCCACATCAAGAACATGTCATCTCCTTGAAAATAGAACATATTTATGATTTGAATCAGTATTTTATGCCTTTAAAATAACTTTTACAAAATATTTTCAAAGATGCTAATGGCTTTCCATAACTTTTAAGTCCAACTTAGAGTTAAGTTCTACTTAGGATCTTTGTGAAACACCCCCAGGTGTATTGTCAAGCTCAGTTGCAACCTCATAATTTTCCAACTGGGACTGGAAAAATGACCAGTTTCCCTTCAAATCCCCTTTCATTTCCATTTGGCATGGTATTGGAAAGTTTATTAAGAGGTCATGACTAACCGACGAAGTACCCACACTTCCAACTTGCTTAGCAGTAATTCTTCTGAGCACTTGTTCCAAACATTGGCTATCGTATATTGCTTGAAAATCCCTCTTCAAAGGTCCCACTCTGATACCATGTTTCAGGTTAGAATCAAGTGTGTCAAGATGGCTGACTGTCTGTATTCAAATTGTCCTTCTACTAAATGTCTTGTTGGAAATATGAATAAATTTGAGATTGAAATTGAATTGAAATTAAGAACAAACTCAGACCTTATTAGTTCCTTACTGGATGCAATATTTTGACAGATCACCAGTTCGGTTTTCGACAAAAACACTCAACCATACACGCTTTTTTATTATTTATTGATAAATTTGCCAAGGCAATTGATAATAAGTCACACACGGTTGTTTTTATTTGGACTTCTCCAAGGTCTTTGACACTATTAATCTCGATATTTTACTCTATAAACTTGCTTATTATGGCATTCGAGGAACGGTCTTGGAGTGGTTCAAAAATTACCTTACCAACAGAACCCAATTTGTTTATATTAATGATTGTAACTCAAGTATTGGATCAATAACTTGTGGGGTACCACAAGGCTCTCTCTTGGGCCCGATTCTTTTTATTATTTATATAAATTATTTCATAAATTCATCCTTGGTTCTTTCGTTCCTACACTTTGCTGACGCATCGAGCATTTTTTGCTCACATCTCAATCCTAGAATTTTTCTTGATTCCCTGAATTTTGAATTGCTTTTTGTAGTTGAATGAATACAAGCAAACAAATTGTCCCTGAATCTGAACAAAACTAATTTTATGATTTTCAGCAATAAATATCTAAGCTACCAGGACAATTTCTGGTTAATGGCTTACCCTTAACCCAGATAAACTCCACTCAATTTCTTGACCGTTTTATTGCCTGTAAACTAACATGGAATACTCAAATTGATCATTTATGCAAACTGATGTCTAGGAACGTAGGTGTAATAAATAAGTTGAAATCTTTTTTTTTCCATCTCATGTCTTAAAAATATTATATTTAACTCTTTTGTTACCTTATCTAAATTACGGGGTGCTAGCGTGGGGAAATTGTTCAAAAACAAAAATCAATTCGGGGATCCAAAAAAGAGCAATAAGAATAATAAATCTGGCAGATTTCCAGGCACACACTAACGTTTTATTTCTTGCAAATCGTTTCCTGAAAGTACCTGAACTAATACATTTATTTCCTCGGAATTTTCATGTATCAGCTAAGTAAGGATGATTTGCCTAATATATTCCCTCCCATGTTCGCTTTAAATAGTGTCATTCACTCCTATCCCACAAGACAAAGAGACAACTTCCATCTCCCCCCCCCCCCCCCCCCCCCCAATCCGGACAGTTTTTGCCCCAAAAGCAATTATGTATAACCGGTCCCTCTTTTTGGAATGGTTTGGATTCAGAGGTTAAGGAAGCACCATCGTTAAATTGCTTTAAACGCAAACTTCGAGTTTTTCTTTTAAGTTCTTACATCTAATATAATTTGTTTGCCCTCCCCACAGTCCTTTTTTCTTCAATGTTAATCTTCATTGTTAATTAATGATGCCTGTTCCGGTGTTTTTAATGTATACATGAACAAACAAATTACTTTGTGCTATGCTAACTAAATTGCTCGGATGACTACGCATTTTGACTACGCTTCTAACCGGGTGACTATTGGTATTGGTGCCAATGCATGATTTTGTATAAAAAATGTCCTTATTTCATTGTGTTTTAAATTCTCCCCTCTTAATTAGGTCTTTCTGTACTGCAACTGTTTCTTTTATCTACATTACTTTTTTTCTTCCACGAACCTATATTATACAAGCCCTGCTTTTTAAAAGGTTCCTCACATTCTACTTTATCTATTATATAAATTTAGAATCATTGACATGTGCTCATTTATACTACAATTGTAATGTATAATTTGTTATTTTACAATGTATGTTCATATTTTCTGTGAAATGTGGAACATTAAACTTGAAAACTTGAAACTAGTTGCTATAAGATATTATCCTATATATATACATGTATATATATATATATATGCACATCAAATGAAAAACTGTTTTGCCTGCCAATATGACAGGCTTGGCAAAGAAATAGGAATATTTTTTTTTGTTTTAGGGCAAGAGGGCAAGTTGATACACCCTGTTATGATAAGATTGTCAACTTACATGCAGCAGACTGTCTAATGGTGAGAACGAGAACCGTGGCCAGCACCACCACTGCAACACAATCTATTCTCCACTGCTCCATGATTCAAATGATTAGATGTGTCAGTTCGTCACAGTGTGAATGCACCTTGTCTTGTGACCACTGAATCAAAAAAGGAAAAGTCCATTGGACTTTGGACGTAGTTTCTACTTTGACATAAGCTTTATTTATTCACTACATTCATTCATGCATGTTCATCTCATTTAGTACATGACCAATTTAACTCCGTGCAATATCCTCGATTCTCATTAATGTCATTCTTATTCCGAGTCATTCATATTGCCTGACTTCACTTGCAAGTGTACAGTTTATACCTCAATAAAATAACGAAAAGGGAATACTATTTTTCAAGTGTTTAATTATTGTCTGTGCATAGGGGCGTCGCTAGACCTTTTCAGTGGGGGTAGGAGGGGTGTCGACAGGGCCGGCGATCCCGGGGGGACGGGGGGACACCTCCCCCCTCAATTTTTTAGGGGGGATATTCCCTCCAACAAAATTTGAAAAAAGTGCATACAAAAAATGAAAAGCAAATACTGACTAAAGACTGCAACACACTTTTAGGATCTCGAGGGCCCAAGAGTGCTGCGTTTAGACAAATACAAATGCAAAAATCTTCTCACTCGGTAGCTACGCTCCCTCGCATAATGCCCTTCAAAATGTACAAATAAATACCGAGAAAATTGAAGTGTGAAAAAAGTATATTGCTTGTTTTTATACTATAGTTTTGCTAAGGAATGTAGTTTTTTAATACAACAAAACTTCAAAAACCTTTGAGGGGGTAGTCACTTCCGTCACCTTTACCCCTCTCATTCACTATGCTCCCTCACACTTGCGTACTGATGGGGGGGCATTGAGGGCAGTTGTCCCCCAAATGAAATTCAAACGTGGTTTATTTCTAATTCGATAACAGTGATTTACAAATCTTTTTTAAATGGCATGATTTTTCCCTGGGCTTCCGGGGACTCTGCCCCCTGTTCACCACCAAGGGCCCTAAGGCGG